CATCGCCCACCGGGACATCAAATCCGGCAATGTCTTTGTGAGTCGCAATGCCGATGGCAGCTGGCGGGCCGCTCTCGGGGACTTGGGCGCCTCGCGGAGCCTGAGCACCGACCGGTCCTCGGCCCTTGTGGTCGACGTGCCCGAGCTCAATGCCATGACAGCGCGATATGCCGCGCCCGAGGTGCTGGCCGCCTTCCAGCGCCGGCGCCCGCTGGACACCGAGCTCTACCTTCCGGCGGACATCTACTCGGCGGCGGTGCTGCTGTGGGAGTGCCTCCACCGCCGGGTCCCGTGGCAGGGTGCGTGCTTTTTTTTTCCCCTCCTGCGCGTGTGCCTGTGTGCCGGGGCGCTTGTGTATATCTGCCCGACTGCTCCCCACCATGCGTGTCTCCGCCCCCGGGGATCATGCTCCGCCGAACACTGACCGAGAGCGCCCCACCGCAGGCCAGGGCTTTGAGGAGATCACCGCGCAGGTGCTGGCCGGGGGCCGGCCCAGCGCGGCCGGCCGTGGGGGGGTCGGGCCCGAGTCGCACTTTGAGGACCTGCTGCAGCTGGCCTGGGACTCGAACGCGCACGCCCGGCCGCTGGCCGCCTCCCTCCGGCAGAAGGCCACCATGGCCCGCCTTGCGACTCATGGCCCTTGACCGAATGTTGGGCTGAACCCGTCGCACGTGCGATGTCCACACACGGACAGATGCCGCCTGCCCAGACACCGCGGTTGTGAGAAGTCCCAGCCCATGTGCCATCCACACTGTCCCAGCGCCCTTCCACCATGTCGAAGACTCAGCCATGTCCAGCTTGCCGCCGTGATCCTGGACCTGCATGTCCCTACTCTTGCCTCTCCGGATCCGGATGGAGCGACCCCTTCGTGTGTATTTTTCTTCGGATCAGGCGGAATGCACAGCAACCATCGCGGGATCTTCCGGGAGAGCGGCTGAAAGTACACCCAGAGGGACGCCAGCAGGGCAGTCCCCTTCCGCTACTTTCCGGCACATCTGTGAGTTTGGCAGCCTGTGTATCAGTCATGCCTTCGAGGCCGGGCTAGGGGGGGGGGAGAATGTGCCTCAACCAGGAAGGTATCCGGTAGCTAGGGCTTCCAGGCCACCCCGATAGTGTGGGGTGGCGATTGGACTATGGGGAGTGTTGTTTCTTCTTTTCGCTGGGGTTTTTTTTGGCGGGGGGGGGGGGGGTTTCTCGGAGTCAATGCCTTTGCTTGGCCGCTCCCAAGGGCCGATTCGCCCGACGCAGACATCCACCATGCAAAGGCTTGGAATCCTGGCGGAGGTGGAGGGGCGGGGAGGGCGAAAGTGGGGACATTTCTGGCCCTCGGTTGGGCCATGCGAATCCCGAGGCCGCGGATCGGATGCCGCAAGGCAGCAAGGCAGCGGCAAGGCCCCGGCCACGGGGCCAAGAGAAACGCAGTACACCAAAAGCAAGGCGCCCGAGGATCAGACGTTTACCGGAGCGAAGAGAAAAGGTAATCCGGAAGGGAAAGCCCAAAGAGAGGAGCCAGGCAGGTGTCGCCAACCGAGCTGTCGTCCACAACCTCGGGGAAGTCGGCGAAGAAAATGGAACTCCGGTAAGCAGCACTGATGGCTTCGAAGGCGTCCACCATATCCGGGCGGGCAGCCAGGCGGAGGGCGGCCCAGAAGTCATCCGGACTCACCGGGACTCCAAGCAGAGCAAGAGCCATGGCCATCTGCCGAGCCAGGATGACCATCGACCCTTCATGAGGCAGAACCGGCAGCAGGTAGAACATGATTTCCCGAGCCGAGGGCGGCGACGGGGGAAGGCAGGCAATGAGGCAGGCAGCCAGGTCCCGTGAAAGGAGTGCTCCCGGGATGTCGCCAGCCGGCAGGAGGGACAGGAAGCCGCTTCGGGAAAGCGGCCGGCGAAGTTTCAGCGACAGGGCATAGCGGATGGCCAAGTAGAGGGACATGATGCAGGGGGGAAGGGGCGGGTCTTCGCGGAGGAGGCGGATCTCCGGCCGCGGGAAGACGCCGGCGATGAAATCCATCCGGAGGATGTGCCGGACCGTGTCCGGGGTCAGGTCGAAGACCGGGCCGAGGGCCTGGTTGGGAGGCACCCCTTCCGGAAGCGACACCCCGGGGATGCCGCCCACGCGTCGGGCCCAGCTCAGTGCGGATCGCGGCTGCGAGCTCGGGCCTGGCGCTGGCGGCACCTGTGACCGGGCTGGCGGGTCGCCATACTCCGAGGAGTACAAGGGGCTCGCGTGGTGCCGGGGGTGGTAATACGAAGGGGGCCGGGCCTCGGCCGGGGAGGTGCCCGCCGGGGCGGAGGAGGAGAAGGAGTCCTCCATGAGCGGGGTGGCCACGGTGGTGTCGCCGGCCTGTGGAGGCTGCCTGGAGGGCTCCTCATCGACCGCCATGCCGGCATCAGGCTCAGAGCAAGCATGGGGAAGGGCGCTGGCAGGCTGGCTGGACATGGCCTGCAGTCCGCCCTGCAGGCATTGGAACTGCTGGAGGAGGGACCGCTGCCCGGCCGCAAGCTCTCGAGCCATGACCTCGAACAGCGGCCCGACCGGCATCGATGAACGGGCGCCCTCGGGCCCAGGCCGAAGGGCCATGTCTAACAGGCTGCGAGCGATCCGACACACGGAAACCCCACGCGAGAGGGACCCCCGGCGCTCGGAGTCTCGGCAGATGGCCAGGGCCCGATCAAAGGGGGAGCCCCCACTGGAGGCGGCAGTGTCGAGGGCATGGAGATCTTCGAGGTAGGCGGCGGCCAGGTGGTCCCAGGCAGTGCCAAGGGACTCGGCCTCTGCCGGGCTGAGTTCCACCATCGGGTTGACCAGCGTTTCCAACACCTCGCCCACCATCTCGCACGAGTCGGATGCGAGCAGCGGAGCCATCCGCTCCTTGACCGGATCCAGAGCGAATGAATTCCCGCCGAAGGTGACCAGTTTGAGATAGGCCACCAAAAATCGCCTTGCCTCGGGGGCCAGATTCTCGGGGCGATGAGTAAAGATTCTCATGACAAAGGTGGTTGATGTGTCTGAGGCTGCGGCAGCGGAGGAGTCCATTTTCCCTGTTGAGTCGGAGATATGGTG